ACTTCATACAAACATATTTGTATTGTTTTACTCTTGCCATCAAGAAATATGTACCTTTTTTTAGTGCATAAAAGATTCTGAGTTGGAAGGTATTGAAAAGGACCATGAAGTCCAACTTACAGCACCATCCAAAATGGTGCCCTATGTCTCAGAGTGTTGTTCAAATGCTTCTTGAACTCTGTGCTGCTCTTCAGGAAGCTCATGGTGGCTTTAGGCTTCTGCAACCACAGTGGGAGAAGTCTGTGGTCATTGTTACAACGTAGTCTTTTTAATTGAGATAAAGATATGCCTGGAAGCTGTGGAAAACTTGGAACAAAACTGGAGGGCAGTGCTGCTGGTGTTTAGGTTTGTGGCCATGCACTGAGCATACACAGGCTGCTCTCTCTCAAAACCAGGCCGGGCCACTTGTATTTTTATTGACTAAGGGATTGTCTGCAGACATTAGTTAAAGTCTGTTAAATCCTTGTGTGGCTGATCTCATTCCCTTGGCCTTATGCTAGCCTAATTGCCTTTGCAGGAAGATTAAGCTGAACTGAACTGAGGTCGTGTTCCTTCAGAGTGAGAGCGTTCACATGGGGCTTTCTCACGCCTGAACTCCACACTCCTAATTAACGCAGCTAGTCTTTCAGGAGCATCCCCAGGCAGGTGAATGCTTCCCAGTATTGCTGGGCTGCAGCTTCCTTATGTGACATCTGGAGCATGTGCTCTTCTTCGTGCTGAATCTGGAAGACAAGGGGAGCAGAAGTAATCTAAAAGTCCTCAAAGAAACAGCAACTGGTCCTGAGGCTTTATCCTGGGGCACCTGCAAACACCTCTGAGATTTGGCATCAGTGGAAGTGACTGGCCATGTGAACTATGGGGGACCAGAGCAAGTGCAGCTTAGAGTTAGTTCATCCTGATGTGGGTCTGTCTTGTTGTGATGAGCAGCTGCTAGAGCAGCGTGCACCTTCACTGGCAAAAACAGAAATCCCCCCCTTTTGTTATGTCTTCATTTGCTGTAACTGAGTAAGCTGGTTGTTAGATTGTGTTTTATACTGTGGTTTTGGTACATACTTTCTGTTGGGATTTTTTTTCCCAACAGTGATAGAATTGTGCTTCTTTTCCAGTTTTGGCCATATATGATGAACTGGGATTTGTACCCATAGAATGAACTGTTACAGTTCTTAGCGAAGTAGCACATGTAGTGGGGAGAAGCTGCCTTCCTCTCCCAGACCTGCCTCTGATTTGCTATACAGACATGGGGAATTCACATCACTGCTCCTCGCACAATGATGGTAATGTAGCAGTTATTACACTTTATAATCCTACATTGCTGCGGAGGGTTTCTTGCCCTTGATCTGGCCCCAGAATTCATGTTCCTACTCAAGATGGAGTATCTTGAGTGTTGTGGGCCGCACAAGGGCTGAGCATCTTTTCCTTCTAGGGACCAAGTAGATTTTTCAAATACATTCATTGAGCTACACCTGAATAAAATGACCTGCTGCATTACACTTCTGGGTCAAATGTATTTATTTGTATGTTAGAAGCATAGAAGAACATTTGCTTTCAGATGGAAGGAAAGGTCTTTTAAATTTACTTCCAGAGCACTGCCAGCTTAACAATCTCTGTCCTCTATTTTTTAAAAACATTTGAATCACCAGGTGGACTTGGTGGTTTTGGGGAATGATCAGCATGATGTTAGCTACATGGCAGGGAAAGCTACTATGTGCAATACACAGCACCATGGAGGATGTGGCATGTGCAGGACTTTTCCCTTTCTCCACCAGCTTCACAGCCTTAGTGTTATCCACGGCCTGGTTTCTCTGTGAATCACCTCTGTTCACTTAGCCTGTGTGGGTAAGCTGCTCTGTCTTCCAGAAACAAGACAGTCAAAACAAGGAAAATAGACTGGGCTGCCTTTTGGTTTGTGTAGTAGTGCCAGACTCACTGTGTAATTATAGGACCTTTATTATGGGGGAAAGCAGAAAATGCCTTGCCTGACTCTCATATCCTTGGCTGAGCTTGCAGAGGTGGTAGTTAAAATAAAAAAAGGGATCTTTTGACTTGAAAACTGAGCCTGTTCCATATGGAGGGAAACAAAAGGACAGAAAAGCAACAAAAGCCACCATCACCTATAAAACAACTGAAAAACAAATGACAGAGTTCTTCTAGTGCTAACTACAATCTGGGGAGCTAAATATGTCTTCCTCAAACACTAAAAGCATCTAATTAACAAAGCCAGGCAGTCACTAAGGACACCACCAACCATCTCCAAGCAAGACGTGCATCTCACTGGCATTGCTTGCAAGGTCACCCTTTTCTATTTTCCCTGCTCCCCACCCCCAAAACTGACATAGCAGGGAACATCTGCCATCCATTTCCTCCTGCCAAGCAATGACAGGAAAGGTGCGCTGAGAAGATGAGAAGCATGACTGATGGCAGCAAAGCCTTGCTGAATTATTGCCTCTTGTGTGGGGAGCAGAGATTTGCTTTTGGGATGCTGGACTGTAATTCATCTATCTCTTTCTTTTAAAGGTGAACTGAAGAGCTTTGCATGTGGAAGAGAATTAACCGTTTTTTTTTTCAGAGGGCAAGACAGTGTTTGTAAGCTTTAAGCTCGGATACATTTACTTATTGAAAACGAGGACTGGAAATCGCTTTCTTCTTTATTTCTTCCCTTCCAAAGCCATTGATTTTTGTTAGTTGCTTTTGTCTGGTCAACAGCAGCCACTGACACTGTAGGTGTCAGAAGGAGTTGCTAGTGTTGTTCTGCCCTAATACCATGTGTTCGCTCCTACTCTCGAGATGTAGCCACCCTGCTGCTGTCACATCTCGCTTGAGAGACATTTGAGACTCTAGTGGGCATGGTGGTGATGGGTCAGCTGTTGGACTAGGTAATTTTAGTGGTGTTTTCCAACCTTAATGATTCTATGATTCATTGAGATGGGATAGGGGTTGGTCTTCACAGCCCCAAATTGTGTAGATCTTTAGATCTGTTTTATCTGGAGACATTATGGAAGTACTGGAATGTTACGTGCATACAGAAAATCTGTTTCTGTGTTATCACAAAATGAATATATATCTATCCATAGCAAGATTTGGGGTAAATAGTAGCATTTTTATTGAAATCTAGGCTTGTGTTAAGAGTAATTCTAGGGTAACTGTTTAACATAAGGGAACATCTAATGTCAGCATGAAAAATCCCAAGCGGCGACAGAGTTCTTTGAGTATCTCAGCCCCATTGTGATGCCCATAGTCACCGCAACAGCTCTGGAGACTGCAGGGCAGGGATCCGCCTTGGATTCAGTCTTGAGCCCTAGAAGGGAGCCCTTTAGGCACCCTAGACAGAGGGGAGAGCATGAAATCCTGGCATAGATAAGGAGTTAGGCAGCAAGTGAGAAGCATCTTTTAAAAACAAAGGCTGCATTTGAAAAGCAGCTTCCTGGTGGTCATAGTGGAGTTTGGTGTTAACCTCCCTTGGAGAATGCTCAGAGCAGTCAGTCGCACCATGGTTTACTTTGGGTTTTAAATTTCTGTTTGACAGGAAGATAATTTTTGCTCTAAGACAGACTGTGGTGCCTCCTGGCTGCTTATAGGGGCGCTAGCTCCATACGGAGGGAATGGCAGTGCTGATTACATTTCTGATTCTGATTGGGTCTTCTGTGGTTTGTTCTAGGGCTTGTGGGTCATGGTGACCATTGGTACACTGCTCACCGTAGGAGACGACTGCAGGGAGAATAAGCGGAGTATAAAGCAGACTGTGAGGAAGCAGATATGAGTAGCCAGAAGTTGTGCTTATGCACATCAGCATTGCTTGATTGCCTTTACTGGGCCTTGTGGCCCCCAGCCACAGTGAGGGAGCCTAACTTGGAATCTGTGCTATAGCAGCACCTCTGCACTTTAGCAGCATCTTTTAGTGTCCTTACTGACCTAACACTCTGTTTTGTAGATGAAACTCTAAGGCAAGGTATCAGTTTTATGAGGTTAAGCCATGATGCCCTGCAGAGGAGAGAATGGGACTGAAACTTCCAGGGGCTTTTCTCAGCTACAAACCCTTCTCTCCATTTTCAAGCATTAGGAGGAAGGAGGAAAGGTTTCTCTCTCTTCTTAGGTGAAAAAACTGCAGTGTCTTTATACTATATGTGCCATTTGTCCAGGGAGAAGGTTGGTGAGTGAACACAAGGGGCTCACCTGGGTACTGCTGGTGGTAGGGAGTGTGGAATTTCAGTGTCTGGGTGAGTTTTGGAGTGATTTCTGCTTGTAAACAGTGCTGCATAAATTCCAGCGCAAGAGGAATAGTGTGGACCTGCAAGTGCTTTGTGAAGGATGGAAAGAAACCACAAATTCTGTGGAGTGCCAGCCCTCAGGCAGGGAGATCTAATCTCATGTTCTTTTTCTGAACATAGTCTCTGGATCACAGGGACTGGTGTTCAGCTCTGCTGAACCCAAGCGAAAGGCTCCCACAGAGAATTTGCAAGTTACCTATGCTTGCAGAGCACACTTATGTGGTGGCATGGGGACTGTTCATTCTCTCTCCAAGCTGTCCTTAACAGAGCAGGCAGTGAAGTGAAGTGTCTAGGCAGGAGTGAGGGAACTGTAGTTTATTGGCTATTGCCCTGACCTGAGGTGTGGAGATGTGGGTCAGGTGGTAGAAGTGCTCAGGCACTGCTGTGTCTTCACTCCTTGTCTCGAGCATCTTGTTACCCATGCAGGTGCCCTTCCACTCGAGTGTTTTACAAACTCAGAGCCCAGTGCTCCCTCTGTTTGACTTTTCTGTCCTGTGTTGTGTGAGCGTGGGCTGACATTTCCCCTTCCAGGGAATGCATTGCTCACTGCCATTTGGGGTGATCTGTCCCAGAGAACAGTGTCCCCTTATGTCTGCCTGAGCTTTATTGAAGTACAGCCTGGCTCCAAGGCTCCCCCAGATCTTTCTGTCTCTTTTCTTTTTATTGCACTAATAAATCTCCCAGGATCTCTCTAGCTGGAAGGGTGGGAGGGATGGAGAGAGGAGATTTCCCGTCTAGTGCATTGCAGGCTTTTATTGACTGTCAGAAGCAGCAGTAAATCTGCAGCAGGAGGTGTGCCCGGCATTGGTGAGCAGAGCATCGCCAGCAGCTGAGGCTGGATAGGAGATGTGAGGGAGCTGTAATGGCTCTGTCCTGTGGCTGCAGTCAATCTTGAGGGTGGGACTACCATAAAGACTTCTACCTCTGCTTTGCTTGACCTGCTTGCTGGTTCATGCTACTTGTGAGGTCCTTTGCAAACTTCTCTGTACAATCCATATTCTCCAGGGCTTTCCAACTGCAGATCACTCTGGGATTTGCCAGCCTAGTGTTCAGGTCTGTCTCTGTTTTGCTTGCCCCTGCAGAACTGATGTGTTTCAAGACACAGCTGGGTATGTATCTTCAGTGCAGCTGAGCAAGATGGGTCATCTGCTTCTCCAGGGCTAGGGTTAGTGTGTCTTTGATGGAAGAAAAACCAATCCTGACATGTTCTGGCCAGCATCAATGCAATGTGTGGATGCCTGGCTTCTGGGATGCAGATAGCTGTGTTGCTATAGCCAATATTCTTCATGTCTAATCCCCAAACCCAAACTATCTTTGTGTTTAAGCCTACTCATTTTTGCCTGCTACAAATTTCTTAGCTGTGTTTCTCACCAGCAGTGTGTGTGGCAGAGGGGCTGATGGGTGGGTGGCACATTCCCTGCACAGCACAGCAGGGTCACCCAAGAGCCCTGCTCTGCATCTGGGGCAGCACAGGCTGCAGCTGTCAGAAGAGCTGGGGCTCTGGGGTGGCCATGAAATCACAGCTCTAGTCCTGCTCTGGAGGGGGGAATTCAATGCCAGAATTGATAGCCTGCAGCACTCATACAATCTCTGTCACTGGAGGATTCAAACAATGGATTGGATGACTGTCAGGAATGGCAAAGGTAAAATAAAAATCACAGACAAAATAAATAAGCTCTGAGCATATGCATCAACAGTCCTTCCCAGCAGGTTTCAGAGGGAGCACATTGTATGGTTTTGTAGTAAGTAAGTACTTAATACTCACCAAAACACTGCAAATACTATTTGAAATACTTACAAATAGCTTTTTCCACAAAAGCTGTTAAGCAGTTAATCTAGTAGGGTTCTTTTTGCTTATCTGCCCCATTCATCATATTTAAATGCAGGGCTGCAGTGTAACACTTGCACTTCTTAACTTCAGCATGCACATGCATAGCTACATCCTCCTCTGATTTTAATTTCAGAGAAGCTTTCTCAGACTCCTCAGTAAGAGTTGTGACACAGGATGTATGTCACCTGGATTCCTCTAGCTTGGGAAGAATGACAATGCCTCTTCTCTTTTGTGTTTCCCTCAGTGCAGCACAACTGTGTCAACAAGCTCAAGTGCAGGGATCCTTACAACTGTCAGCATCCTGCTGTTAGAGGAAGGCTAGGGTGTTGTCCTCAGATGCTGGTAATTCACAAAACCTCTAGCCTGCAGTCCAGGTCAGACAGAGGTCTGTCTCTTTCTTGGATCTCTGAATGATGTCACTTTTCCCCTCCATTATTCCAGCAACCTAGATATGAGTTTCCCTTTCTTCCCTGCTCTGTTTTAAAGGGAGAGCAAATGTCGGCTCAGCATGTGGCCTCTTCAGTATTGACAACCAATTTTTCCCCTGTTATTCAAATGAGTAGTGAAAGCAGAATGTTGCTCTGGCAAAGGGGCTCTCTGTCACTTAAGCTGGGATACCCAGCTTTTATAACTTATGGCATGAAAGATATTGATGTGGCTTGTCTCTCATCTTTCTGGCTCTAACTACTCTCAATAGCCACCTTAAGGAACCCTTCAGGACATGGTTCTGCAGCCATAATGAATCATCCTTGTCGTCTGGCTCCCCAACCTTGAACACGAGAGACAAACATGGAGGTCTGTGTCCCGTCTCTTGTTTCTTCTGCCGCATAGACAAATCCTCGACCAGGAAGCCTCTTTGCAGCCTCCACACCCGGAGGGGACATTTCTGCATCTCTTGTGAAGTTTAGATACTTATACGAATTCAGCTAGAAGCAGGAGTATCTTTTCACATTAGATTTCAGCACACTGACTGTGTTCTTGGCCAGGATCTGGCAGTTTGTTGGCAAGAAAAAGTGAAAAGAAGTAGGGGGGAATATGTAAAAAAATGTCAGATTTTTAACAATATTCTAAAACTGGTGATGCTACAAAAATGGCCATGGATCTCAACTCTGTGAAAAAAATTCTCGCATCCTTAATTCATAGCCTTTCTCATGTGAACACTGGGGCCAAATGGTTTGGCAGGGGAGGTGATTGAAAGCGTTTATACTACAGCACACATAACGTAGTTCTCTACAGTTCTGAGGTCAAGTCGGGTAAGCAAAGGGTTTTTCTTCTCCTAACTAGCCTGCTCTCAAATTAGCCTTGCTGCTCATCCTCTGTTGGCTCTGATGTTTATGGAGGAGAATACCACTGCTCTGCTGTGGTAGCTGACCGTCAACAGTCCCCATTATTGCCTGCTTTTACTTGGAAGAGATTTCTCTTTTTCCTGGCGCCGGCCTGCCTTCCAACAGCTGCAGCCAATGCAGTGTGCTGTGTTACAGGAGCGGGCAGACAGGCAAGGTGATGGGTAAGCTCAGTTTATGGAGTGTGGTAAGGATGGCCAACATCTACAACTCTCAAGAGGATGATATATCTGGAAAGGAGAATCCTCCTTTTGCTGTCCCAAGATAAGCACAATGACTCTTGCTTGTACAGCTAAGAAACCTGAGCATAACATGATCTAAAAAATGCTCTATGCAACGTCATCTCAGCCTAAGGCAGAGCCACTTGCATCCATGTCATTTCTGACAGATATTTTCCCAGCCTATTCTTATAGGTCTCTTGGTGCAGAGATATCTACAATATCCCTAGGCAATGTCATGTAGGCCTTCACTGTCCTGACCCCCTAAAAAGATGATCCTAATTCTTAAAATAAATTGACCTTGGTCCAACTCTAGCCTCATATCTGAGGACGTGGAAAATACATTTTCCCCACATCTCTTTTTCTCTCTTTCTTTCTAGATAGACCTTTTGCATCCTCAAATGCTATGCCTGACAGTTGCACTTTCCATCCTATATTCTCTTAGTCTCTAGGGTAATCCCAGTTTCTTCAACCTTTCCTTGAGTAAACCAGCTGTCCAGTTGTTCTCTCTGCTCTTCTGTGAACTCTTTTCATTTGCTGCATGCAGAAGCCTGAGCTGGACTCCATACTCCAGCTGGGGTCTTTTCAGTATAAGGTGGTATGAAAAACTGCATTGGTCCCAAGACAGCTGGTCTAGGTCCTGTCAGCCCACACTGGTCCAGGCACTGGAGAAGATCATTCTTTCCAACCCTTATTTCTGCTTCTTTTCCTAGTCAATTAAAAGTAGGTCTTGTCTATCTCTGCAGTAATCAGCGCAGTCAGCAAAACTTTCCATTCGAATCTAAAGGCATGCTCCCTGTGTCTGTTTTTCTGCTCTCGTGCCTTCCTCTCAGCTTTGTGCTGCTGTAAGTCCTCTGTGTCCTCTCTTCTGGCCTCATGACACTCTGCAGGATATGCGCTTTCATGCCAGGGTGCACTGGTGCTGCGCATGTCTAAAGACCATTCATATCCCACGTCCTGCCTGAGACCATATATTATACTTTGTATGCACTTTGTAGTATGCACTGTACTTGAATTCAGCCTGAATTGAGCTGCCATGACTCACTGCTGGGCTGGGCAAGGGACATTTTGAACAACTCCCCAGAAATCCTATGAGGAAAGCAGCAGGAGTTGAGTCTTTTCTCCTTTGGTCACCTAGCAAGGTGCTGGGCTGGCTGTTTCTTGAAGGAGTCTCTACTGGTGCTAGGTCTGGCTCTGGTATTATGCAATATGGATGAGCAGATGGCTGAAGAGACTGGAAAGAGAGTAAGGATTGTTAGGAGAGGAGCTGGGGAGGTTTTCTTTCTCAAAACAAATGTGTTAGATCTGTGTTAGATCTACCTGTGGTCTGAGCATAACTGGAGGAAAGAGAATGTTGAAAAGGGATGGGGAGGAGAGGTAAGGTGGTTACTGTCAGATAATGGCACCAGGATAGCAAAGTAGTGTGAATGGGACTGCAGCAGTGCAAGCTGGAGCTGCTGGGAGCTTCTCCAGTGCACAAGGTCTTTGCTTCTATTTGCAAACAATATTTGTATGAATTAAATTTTCGTGGAATAAAAATAGAATCAGCAGTTGTACAAATAAAGATGGAAGGATTCCACAGGTTTCAAGATATGAACTGCATGCTGTTCAAGGCCAGGAGGAAGCGAAGACCATTTGAGACCTCTAATGCAGATAGGCACTCTGCAGACGCCATTCCAAAAGCAGCTGGAGGCCTTGACTGCCTAGATGTAGAGATAGGGCAACAAGTTGTCTTCTTGATGTGGCCGATGTCCATTACACTGTTGTGGGATGCAGGGTGAGGACAGGGTCAGTCCCCCACTTTCTGGGAATTAAATCCTTGCTGGCTTTTCCTCTTGGAAATGCAGTTCAACTGAGAGTGACGACGGCTGATGAAGAGGTAGACTGCCTACAGTGCCTTCTCTCTCTGCCCTTTTGAAGATCTCAGGGGGGACTTCAAGGAGATGTTACTTTAACAATATCTGAGATCTGAGATCTCAAAATTGTTTCCACTTTCTGAGACATAGGAAAGCATACAAAGCATCACTGTGGTATATACAGGGCTGCTTCCATGAATATCTTCTAAAATGTCACTCTTAGAGATTGGTTTAATGTTTGCCTTACACAGCAGTTTAAGAATTACTTATTTTTACCAACATGTCTTTGTTATGCTCAGCATGTCTATAGCCTCTTCGAAGCTTGCTCTTTTTCCTGGGATGTCACAGTTGTTTATTGTATATGAGATGGACCCTACGCTGGCCATCAGCTATCATCTGCCTCCGTAATGGTTGTGAGTAGGAACCAGCAACTTAAAGATGAAAATTTCCCAAGTCTGCAGTCAACTCTCTGCATTACCCAGGTCCTGGAAGTTCTGAACACATTCCATTAGCCCTAGTTTTTGTGGTGAGTTCTTATGTGGTGAATGCCTGAAGTCTGATGGAAATGATAAGCCTTCTTGTATGGCAGCAGTGATGGCACTGTCTTTGGGTCCAGGACAGACCATGCATTTCTGAGGTTTGGATGCACCCACTCAAACTGTTGTTCTGTGTGAAAGAGGGACTCAGATGCTGCTGAAACAGTTTGTTCGTACCTAGCTGAGCCCTGAGGATGCTTTTTCTCCCTTGGGAAATCAGGCTTGGCCCACAAAAGTTTTGTGGCACCATTCAAGTGTACGCATTGCTCCTAGCTGCTGCTGCAAACCTGAGAGCTTCCCAGCCCCCTGGAGGTGTGTTAATCACAGCACAGGTACATGCATGATACTTAGGCCACCAACACTGTGGAGAATGCAGTGGGAAAGGGATTTCAGTCACTGGCAGGTAGCTGCACAGCTAGACACAGCCTTTTTAGTTTTAATCTTCTATGTAACTTGAAATGGAACCTTTCATTCCCCTCTGAAATATCTTCACTGGCCACTGAGCTCCTTCCCCTCTCCACATCCATTGGTTTTTTGTGTAGAGCAGTTTTTGTACCGAGACATCTCCTGTGCCTGCTTTCCTCAATGGACACTGATGTGACACGCAGAGCTGAGCTGTCAGAGCTCTGGGGTGTTTTTTTTCTTCTCCCTGTGATGAGCTGCGACACTCAGCTTCCCAGCTCCACAGGCCACTTCTCGATGCTTTTGTTAACATCACATTGTGAATGCAGCAGGAGGCCAGGAGCAATGCGCGGTGGCTAGAGGTTTGCCCAGGGCAGTGGGCATTGTGCACCATCGCATTTTTCAGCTAGGTAGCACTGCAGAATATTCTTGTTCCCTTTTGCTCTTTCTTCTCCACTTCTGGAATTTTTTCCTGTTATTCTACATCATCCCAGCCATTTTCTTTTCCCTCTGCTCTTCTTCTGTCTGGCTCAGGAGAGCATTTTGTGGGTGGATCGTGGGCTCTTTGGGGCAGATTTACATCCCTTGGTGATGCAAATGAGGCACCGCATTACTGGCGAACAGCATAAATGAAATTATCCCAGCAGGCTTATTTCCATGGAACAGAACAACACTGGAAATGATAAAGGAGCCAAAGAGATATGAGTGGAGCTTCTCTGTTAAATCTTGTTCAACAAATGCTCACCTGTGCCCCACGTGAGGGCCCGCTGTGTCCTCAGCAGTTATACTAAAGGGGTGTTAGTGTGGCTTTGGCCGTGTGTGGATTTTGCTCCACATTAAAGATGGAGCAGTTTATGCTCTGTATGTACAGTTCTGCAGACTACCCCCAGACTCCTTTGTGGAGTGGCAGCTGTGCACTGGCATGATTGGTCCAGAAGGCAAAACATGTAATCTCGTAGGGGAGACATTGATGGAGGTGAGGTGAGGTCTGGAAGGGAGATCTTGAGCCTCTTGGTCCCAGCGATCCCAGTCATGCATCATTTGGAGCTGCAGTGAGCAAGAGGCAGCATCGTGTTTTGCACTCATTAGAAGTCCAGCATCTGCGTTTTGCTTTCCTTGGGCTGCAGGCATGATCAGAAGGTGCTGGTGGTACCCTGGTTGGTGGGAGGCATGGGAAGAGTGGTCCTTGGGAACATACTGGCTTCAGCAGAGCAGGAGGGAGAGAGAGATGTGAAACCAGGTGTGGGAACAGGTGGAGGAGCAGGCTGTGGTGCCAGCTCCCCTGTGCTGTCTTGGCCCGATTCCAGAGAAAACAGATCTCCTTTTTTTTTTTTTAAATTATTATTTTTTTGCTTGAATAAAAGGCCGATTCCTACATTTTCCAAAACTCCGTGCATTTTAACTGTGCTCCAGATGCAGTAATATTGAACATGCATTGCAAAATATCAGTTCTCATCTAGCACATGCCCAAGCAGGAAATCCTCAGAGAGATTACCCTGATCTCACAAACAGTGGAGCATGGAATAGAATAACTTTAAACATTAATGCAAATTTAACCTTAACTGTGTCTTTGTTGCTGGTGGGAGGTGCTGCTGCGACACTGCCAACAAGTTGAAATCTTCTCAGACTTCCTAGTCCTATAAAACAGAGATGGAAAGGACAAAGCAGATGCTTTGTGCTGCTTTTGTGCAGACTGGTGGGAGATCTGTAGCCATGAGGCAGCCAGCCTGTGCTGGTGATTCTTTGAATAGTATGACAGATTTGGGGGGGAAAGAAAACAACAAAGGAAAACTCACCTTGTAGTGGTTGCTGCTTTTTTTCCACATTAAAGGAAAAAAATAGCTATAGACATTCCAGAGGGAAGATTTTAATTTGTTGGAACAGCATTTGAGGGTTTTCTTCAGGTCTAGGTTTCCGGAGCAGGTAAAATCCTCTGCTGGCAAACACGCTCTGCATAAATGCAGAGCTGGATTCACTTTCCACAGTGGCAGTGCTAACAGTAAACATACACAGATATTAGCGTGCTTGGAGATCTCCAAAGACACTTGGCCTTACAGTGCTGCAATTATGTTGAAAATATTGCTGAATCTGGAAAAAAGTCATCTCTAAATTAGATTCGTTGCTGCAGCCCCACTGCCAGCTATGGGACTTGTGCTGTGTCTGCAGAAGAGAAAGCTAACTTTGGCTTTAGCCTCAGTGCACCTTGGACTGTGATCTGTGATCACTCTGAGACTTTCTGGTGGGTGTTTGTTGATAAAACAGGACTGCAGTGCTGTGGCCAGGTGTTGGGAATGGCCAGCCTTTCTGCTCAGCACCAATGTGTGCTGGTGGAGATCACTGCTGGTTTTTCAGGGCCACTCCGGGGCTGGGCCATTAGAGCTCTGCGCAGGTTTTCCGAGCAGCAGAGCAGGGACATGCTCAGTTCTTGGCTGAAGAGCATTGGCAGATCTGCATGTCAAAGTGCCCAAGACCCTGCCTATGCTGTTGTAACAACAAATCATAGCCTTTGTGTATCCATACGAATTTCATGAGACTTAGAAATATTTTCCCCCCGTGTACTCTAATTGTTCTAGAAATCCAACCAGGTATGCAGTTATGTGAAAGTATTATGCAATGAGTGCTACAGAAAAGCACAGCATGCTCTGTTTTGCAGCAGTTGAGAGGCTTTTCCAAAGCATTTAGCAGCAGAGCTGGTACAGTCATGCCCACAGCCATGGATGTACGATTTCTACATCTCTTCTGGATGCAACAACCTCAGTTGGCCACTGTGAATATGCCTTATGATCCTTTTTGTCCCAGTTTAAAGAATTTTATGGATTTGCTGATAGTGTTGGTTGAAATATAGCCAAACCCGTATTTATTGGGATATTTCCTCAGCAGTATCAAAATGTCTGCTACCTTTGTGTCTTGCCTTTGTGGGTAAAAGACAGTGAAAAAAAAAGCCCCTACCTCCCTTGAGCTTTGGATGAGCGTGTATATGCATGTTTTTATGGACTCTTTTTTCCTGTGCTGTTTATCTCTAAGGTTTAATTCAACTGATGGGCTTTAAGCAGCAGATCTGTAGATTGCGCATTGTAAACTCGAAAGTGGCAATACCATTCTATGATTCAATACAGCCTTTGGGAATGAGACCCTACCCTTGCTGTTGTGAAAGATGAAGGCAGAGCTGAGTGTGGTACGTGCAGAGCACTGAGAGCTGTCTTTCAACATGAGACACTTCAGATTGTTCAGTGAAAGAAGTGAAAAGCCAAAGAAAAACAGAAGGTGACTGCAAGGGGCTTCTTTTCTGTGTTCAACCAAACTGACCCTGGGGTTTTTAAGCTTGAGGCTCTTAGAGATACTGGGAAAATAACTCCTCTTCCCTCAACATGGTTAACGTGGTTTGGGGATGAGTGCTGATGACCCTATTCTGCTTTGACAGGGATGAATCATGTCTGTGCATATGTCATGCTGCAAGAAACAGGAAAGGAAGGAAAGGTCCCCTCATTGATGGTCATAATTCCTCCTTTCCCTTCAAAAACAAGTGAGGAACCTGCTGCAGGTCCCCTTTGTTTGGACACTTCATCCTGAGTAAAAGAAACACAGTGCAATGCCTCTTCAAAGGACATTGTGTCTCCCATTATTCATGAATTGCAAGGGTTAAGGAGATTAGCTGTTTCAGTGGATTAGTAAGGGGCTGTGGATCTGTTCATCTCAGTGTAGCTAGCTGTCTTGTGAGTGCATGTGTAGAGAATCTAAAAATAATTCATTTATTTGCGCAAAATATCTGTCAGGCTGGTTTCCCTCAGGCAGATGTTCACTCCCGTGGCATTGCTCTCACAGCGCAAGGTCCCACCCAAGGAGAGATGGGAACTTCTGATGGATGTAGAGCATCAGGATGCCAACTCCCCACTCCTCCTTCCCCCATGCACCGTTTCCAGGGGCGGGTTTCTCTTTTCCCAAGACCTTGGCTGCCCAACTACTGTCTGTCCCCTGATGTTGGTGGTTGGAGGTGGGTGTGGAGCCTGGCCAAGGCCTCCAATGGCAGTCCCTCCTGTGGGGCCTGGTGCTGGCCCTGCACCAGCAGGGCTCCCAGGGGGACGAAGCGGGTGGGTTGGTAAAGAACCCTGTTTATACGTTGCTGTGTCTCTGCTTGCTGCTGGGGTCATTTGTCTTTGGAAATAACTGTGCCCAGACACCCAGTATTAGTCTTCTCCACCGCCAGTGCAATAAAAATCAGTGGCCCTGGGCAGCGTGAAATGAACTTTAGAAGCCTTGGCTGTACATTCTCCACCTGTTTCAATATATGAAAAATAATAAAATTTTTATAGAACCCTAAAGCATCTCTGAGGTATGGGAGAGCACTTCAGCATTCTGTGCTGGCGTTACTTCTGCCCACACACAGCTGCTTGAGCTGGAGGTCCCCAGGGTAGCTGCTCAGGGTTAAAGTCACTCCACGCCAAGGGGAAGGGAGCAGCACATAGGGAAAGGGCTGGAAAAGCAGGAGCTTGGATTCTTTCCCATTTTTTTCACTGAGCGCACTGGCAGGTCACTTACCTCACTGTGTCTCATTTCTGCTGTTTGTAAAATGGGAACACGTTTCACCTCACAGGGCTGTTGCAAAGCTTAATTAAGATTTGCAAAGTGCTTTGGTGCTGTATAAATGCCAGTCACTTTAATTAATAAAATGAAACGGCTGTGCACTCTTGGCTTCTTTGTTTACCTGCAGCTAGCAGGATGATGTTCAGAAGGGCTGATATTCCACACAGCTGTGTTTTACAAATGTCCTATTTTCCTGAAAGCATCTTGAGATGCCTTACTGATCTGCTCCAAACTGGACATGGACTTGCAAACCAGGAATGGGCCAAACCTGTCTTACAAATCTTATGAGGAGTTGCTAAAGGAACTGGGATTGTTTAGTCTGGAGAAGAGGAGGCTCAGGGGAGACCTCATCGTCCTCTACAGTGACCTGAAAGGAGGTTGTGGTGAGGTGGGGGTCAGCCTCTTCTCTCAGGTAACAGCAATAGAATGAGAGGTAATGGCCTTAAGTTGCACCAGGGAGGGATTCAGGTTGGATGTTAGGAAAAACAACTTCTCCAAAAGAGTGGTTGGGCAGTGGAACGGGCTGCCCAGGGAGGTAGTGGAGTCACCATTTCTGGAGGTGTTCAATAAATGTGTAGATGTGGCACTGAGATACGATTGGCAGGCAAGGTGGGGATGGGCTGACAGTGAGGCTAGATGAACTTAGTAGTCTTTTCCAACCTTAATGATTCTACAGTTCTACGTCACAAGGACTGTCTGTGGAGTTGGTCAGGACTCCCTCATGCAGAGGGACCCAGCTGAGGCTCTGCTGAGGGTAACTCCCAGCTTGCTCCTTCATAGCAGGCCTCAGTGGAGCACAGGGAGCTGTGTAGTCCCACGCCCTGAGCTGCAGGATGTGAAAACAACAGAAGCATCCATGGAAATGGCTTTTCTTTCTCGTTTGATAGTTTTCCCTGACTATATTCAAGGGAGAATTTTAGCAGCCATGTCATCTGCATCTTTATAAAAAAAGCTTATTTCACATTCATGAGAGCTAAAAACGTCCAGGAGGGAGAAGCCAACAAAAGGATTGTGGAGGGATTCTTGTTGCAGTTTTCCAGATGCTGCATGCTCCAGAGAGCACTTTCAGCTCTGTCCCTCGCTGCCAGGTCCAGGCCTCAGCAGTCCTTGTGCCCAGTGCTATGTGAGCCAGAGGTGCTTCACGATGCAGTGACCCAATGTCACATGGTGATCCAACGTGAGCAACCCAACACCTCTGCATTTCCAGCTGTTCCGTTCCCACATCTAAGCATCTATAGTCTGTAATAAAGAATCGAAGGATAAGATCAGTGTTCTCTTGAGTTTTCAGTATGTTGGACTCTACATCTAGAGAATGCACCTTGGCAGTCTCTGTGGTGCTCTGTTGTCCAGGAGACTGAGGACAGGTCATTCGAGTGGAGCCCTCTTCTCCCAGTGCCTCTCTGCTTCTCAGGCACGAGATGATCATCAGGACAGAAGACACACTTTAGTCCTCTCTTCCTCACAGTGCAAGACTTTTTTGTCGCTTTCAAATTAGAAGATTCTATGCAGGAGGAGACATGGTTTGATTATATGCGATCTTTTTAAAAGCTCCCAAATGAACAACAGCAGGAGGGAGGAAGAATCTGTAAGAGTACATCCTTCCTTCACCAGTGCATGACCCTACAGCCAAAGGCACTGCAGGTTGGCACAGCAGCACGTCTTCCTATGGAGAAGACCACTTGGGCAGGCAGGAAATCCTGTGTCTCCCACTGAGGATGGTGTTTCAGCACGTAGGTAGCAGTGTTGGTACACTCTGCTAGCTGTATAGCTGTGTGTATCCCCACACCTATCATTTGTAGTATAGAGAAGCACTACCTGTTATCTGGGAGTCAGCACCACAGGGCAGAGTGGGCGTATGTATAAATGACTGCTTTTTTGAGCTGCCAAAGGTGCGTATGTGCAGCACGTTGGGGTGCTGGTACTTGAATACCATGTGTAGCTCTCTCTTTTCCCACTCAACCCTCTAGGCAGGACCATAGGAGTTTGCTGGTGATTTCTCAGCACTTACCTCTGTGCTGGACTATAACTAACCTTTGGTGTCTGATTATCATTCCGTGGTTCATGCTTTTAAGCAGAAATCCATATCATCTTTCTGCCTTGCAGAATGTGAATAACTCAAAGCACAGGCAACAGTGAAGGATCAGGCTGCTCATGGGCTCTCGTATTGCTTCTTACTCATCCCGGTGTGACTCTGATATTATATCACAGCTTAATGTGTTGTCCAGAATGTAATGTGTTAGCATAGTAGCAAATACCAGAGAGAGTCACAGGATCATATTAAGCTCCCTGCCTCTGACAGATTTGATTTCAGGAGTGAATTTACAGCAGAGGATGGAAATTTACAATCTAATTGCTAGCCCAGTATGAATTTCCAAATATAATTGGGTCTTTAAAGAGTGATAGTGCTGGGATCAGGAATATGTTACTTTTTGTTTTATTTAGCCATTTCCACTAAAAGTGATCATGATGTGCTGTTATTTTAATTTAAAAGGGCAATTAGCAGTCACATCTGGCACAGTTAGCCCTTAAACAGCTTGCTGCTTTTATCAAGTTTAGATGCCAATGTTAGATA